CCCATCCCTTTCAGCCCTTTTTTTCACTGGTTATTTTTTAAAATAAGGTCCCACTTATTGCTTGGGGTGGGAGCTAGATTTCAATCCACCTATTTTGGGCTTCCTTCATTCCTGGGATGACAAGAACATGCCACTGTGCTGAGTTATGAATTTAGAAAGGGCTTTACAAACCTTTCTCTCCAGGCTGGCCTCAAACCATATTCTTCTCATTCTTAGCCTCTCAAGTACCTAAGACTGGCTGTGTTCTGGTGGCTCACACCTGTAATCCTAGCTACTCATGAGGCTGAGGTCTGAGGCTTGCAGTTTGAAGACAGCCCAGGCAGGAAAGACCATGAGACTTTTCTCTCCAATAAACTACTACACAAAAAAGCTGGAAAGTGGAACTGTGGCTCAAGAGGTAAAGCTCTAGCCTTGAGCAAAAAAGCTAAGGGAGAGCATTCAGGCCCTGAGTTTAAGCTTCAGGACCAACACAAACACACACACACACACACACACACACACACACACACACAACTAGAACTACATGTATAAGCCATTGGTACCCAGCTTCTTTAGGATTTTTATTTTTTTGCTGTACTGGGGTTTGAACTCATGACCTTGCACTTGTTAGGCAGATGCTCCACCACTTGAGCCATACCCAGGCCCTTAAAGAATTATTTTAAAAGAAGACTTGGACCTTTTTTTGGGGGGGGGGTCTGGTCATGGGGCCTGAACTCTGGGCCTGGGCGCTGTCCCTCAGCTCTTCAGCTCAAGGCTAGCGCTCTACCACTTGAGCCACAGTGCTACTTCCAGCTTTTTTCTTTTTGCTTATGTGGTGCTGAGGAATCGAACCCAGGGCCTAGACATGCAAGGCAAGCACTCTACCACTGAGCCACCTTCCCAGCCCAACTTGGACCTTTTGATACCTTGATAAAAATAATTCCTCACATTATTAGCAATAATTTACACTGCATCCAGTGTCAATTTGTATTGACACTTTCATGGCAGAACCACATTTTTCTATGATATTAAAAACTTAATGTACACTGCCAGGCATTAAGTGAATGGAAAGACACCACCATAAAAAATATCTGTTCTGACTAGAGGATAAATGGTAGTTCCAGTATTCCCTTGTTGTTGTTGATGTTATTTGATAATGCTAAAATCAAAGGCTTACAGTAAAATAGGCCAGGCAAAGAGTATGTTGTCTTTTGGATATCTTAAAATATAACTTTTTCGTGATTCTCAAGGTATTATACAGAGAGGTTTCCATTTCATAAGACCGGCAACTGGAACATTTCTTTTTTTTGGACACTATCACCTCTTCCTTTGCTCCCAGTTTCATCCTCCCATTCCTCTCCACAAGTTACATAGTTCATTTTCCACATAGTATATACTGAAGAGTGATTGCATTTCTTCCCCTATTATTTTGTTTTACTGGTTGTCCTTGTTCCCTATTTTCTTGTTTTCTTTTTTTTAAAACTAGTGCATTTTCTTAAATCTTTAGCATATTTTTGGGTAGGCTTTGAGCTTTAGTTACTTTGTATATTTTGAAATGTTTGTTGAGAGATTTTTTTGTTTTTTGACACTAGTTATTAGTTATATTGTGTAATAAGTGATATCACTCACCCCTTCGTATTTTGTAGTAGTACATATTTTTTACTTTTTTTACTCTGTATGTGAAGGATTACAACACAATTACCCTGCCATTTGAATGCTTAAAACCAAGTGCTCCTATAAGCTCTTTTGGTATTTGTCCCTCTAGTGTGATCTATAAAAAGATGATCAAGAGAGATTTCTAGTTTTTTGTATTAGTAGTATAAAAAGCTAATCTATACTATACGTTAGTGCAACAGTTCATATATATATATATTACCAACTCTTTATTCAGATCACTAGTGCAAGAGTTTTAAAGTATTTGCATAATTAATAATAAAATGCATAGCTTGGCAATAAGCTACTTTGAAGAAAAGATCCAGGAAGATCAGTCCAGGCATAGAATTTCATGAGACTCCTTCTCAACCAATGGTTGGATGAGATTGTGCATTTCTGTCATCTAAGCTACAGAGGAAGCACAATGGCTGGGTGCAATGGCACATACCTGTCATCCCCAGTGACATGGGAAAGCACAAGTAGAAGGATTGCAGTCCAGGATGTCCTGGGCATAAAGTATGACTCTATCTAAAAAATAACCAATGAGCCAGGCACCAGTGGCTCAAGCATGTGATCCTAGCTACTTGGGAGGCTAATATCTGAGGATCATAATTTGAAGCCAGTTCGGTCAGGTAAGAAAGTCAATGAAACTCTTATTTCCAAATAATATCATACAACCACACACACACACACACATACACACACACACACACTCCAGAAGTAGAGCTCTGGTTCAAATGGTAGAGCATTAGCCTTAAACAAAACAGCACAGGGATAGCACCCAGGTCTTGAGTTCAAGCCCCAGGACTAGCACACACACATACAACACCCCAATGTAGAAAGGGGCTGCAGCTGTGGCTGAAGTGGTAAGCATTTGCCTGACCAGTATGAGGCTCTTAATTCAATCCTCAGAACTACTAGTGGCTCACGCCTGAAAACCTAGCTATTAATGAAGCTGAAATTGGGTGGACCATAATTTGAGTTTAGCCCAAGCAAAAAGCTCTTAAGCATCTTACTCAACTTATAGCTGGACAGAGTGGCATTAGCTTGACATCTCAGCTATGTACTAAACTGAGATTGGGAGGATGAAGGTTCCAGGTGAGCAAGGACCAAGCTAGCCAAGGCAAAATAATTTGTAAGACTCAATGGAATAAGCTAGATGTGGTGGTATGGCAGTCCAGGCACATGCTAGGGCAAAAAGTGAGATCATATCTCAAAGCAAGCAGTATACAAAAAGAGCAGGAGGTATGGTTTAATGGTAGGATACCTAACAGCAAATATGAGACTTTGAGTTCAAATCCTAGGAATGCAAAAATAAAGTAGGACATTTTTGTTTTTAATAGACTTAAAATTTTAGTTTTAATAATACATTTTTGTACAGTTGACATAACAAGACCAAAAAGAGGTTCCTGAATATCTTTTTCTTCCGTATAAGTGGAAAGGACAGTTTTCACATATAAGTGAGCTATTATTTTGAAAAGAACATTATTATTTTGTAACTTACAGCAATAATTAACCCTTAAACATGGTGACAATTCCTTATTGGCAAGCATGAGATTACTATAGAAATTATTAGAGTGTAACTCAGTTGAATGATTTCTTCTATACACATCCCATCATTCCAATAATTTATAAATGTATTAACAATTAGGTTAATAAAGTATTACTGATGGAAATTAAGATTATCTAAGGGTAAAGTGTAGAAATTCATTTGGTGATTCTTACATGCCAATGTCTTTTACAAGAAGTTTAATACTATAGCAGTGGTAGAATGATAAATTACATCTTACTGTTGATATGAATGCTTGGATACACAGGTGTCATTTTGTTGTCATAGAACAATAGTGAAGTATGGAAATAAAAAACTTATATTCAGAATAAAGACTTAGGTAATAAAATACCATTTGTGCAAGGAAAACAAGAGTCAAAACCAGGAATTTGTACTCTGGTTTGGTTTTAGTTTGATGGTATACTTTTCTTATCCAGCCAATTTTTTTTTGGCCAATAGTACAAATGAGTAACAGGAAAGATGAAGTTAGTTATAATCCATCATTATATTTGATGAAAATTTAATGTCTATTCATCAATTATGTTCCTGATTTTATGAGTATATTTAATGAACACTTAAAGCCACAATTATCCTTTAATGTAACAGTCTGCTTTATCCATCTAAATGTTTATTCTTAGGACATAGAATTTCCATCTCTGTCCACTCTTTTGGAATAATGTTGTTTATATACCCTTCTAGGATGCCTACAGTAGGTATAGATACCGCAGAGTTTATATTATTCATGAATATATCTCCTTTGATGGCAGCTACAAAACATTAAACAATCAAACAAAAATTTCAACTATAGAGAGGAGAAAGAAAAATCAGCAGCTTAGTCTGTCATCTGAAGGGGAATGGTAGACCACAGTGAGGTTTTTAATCTCAGTTTGGAAGTGAAGAGGAAGGTGGAGTGAGAAGAATGGAGGAGGAAGAGAGACAAAGTTAAATTTTTTTGAAAGAGACCATGTTCATAATTAGTCGAGCTAAATTTAGGATGAGAAATAAAATAGAGATAACAAATTAGGGGAAAAACCCAGGCACCAAAGTTGGCGATACTCTTATCCAATAGATTTAAAAAAAAAGGCTGGAAATGGAGCTGTAGCTCAAATAATAATTAACATTTATTAAACTATTGTTATTTCGATATTACAGAGGGGAAAGTGAGACACAGCAGTAGCTGGCTAAATTAGCTTCTTGGAATTTTACCTAGCTAGAAAACGGTTGAATCTGAATTTCAATTCTGACAATATTTTTAAAAGGGGGTTAAATAAAATATATACAGAGTGAGAAAACTTACAGGAACAAGAGACTGGAGAAACACCTGGGGCGGGGGAAGATGGTTTTATTGTAACGATCAAGTCTGACAGGTCGGTTTGTTAGTCACTTTAATCTAGCTAAATCACAATGATTAGAGGTGGGTACTGTTTCCAGTTTTCAGACCAGGACTTGACAGATGCTTGACCTGTGTTATACTTCCACAGCTGGCTGTGGATCAAGGGAGGGAAGACAGGAGACTCAGGAACAGAAAGGCAGCAGGGAAAGGCAAGTAGATGGCAAGTAAGAAATCCAGGAAGTTTCCACTTGAGGCGGAGGCCGGTTCCAGCATTCAAACCTCTCCCGCGGGCCCGCCAGGCTGTCACAGATCCCGCCCCTCAATCACAAAGCCACGCCCCTCCGCTCGCTGCTCTCGGAGCTCCCAATACTTCCCTCCTTCACTTTAACCCCGCCCACTCCGCCAGTATCATTTCCCGTGTGTCGGATGCTGATTGGCCCAGGAGTCGGAAGTGAGGGCGGGTGGTGGGGCCGTTGCCGCAGTGACAGTGCTGGGGGAGTCCGAAGATGGCGGCGTCGCGTCGCTCTCAGCATCATCACCACCATCATCAGCAACAGCTCCAGCCCGCCCCAGGGGCTTCGGCGCCGCCGCCGCCACCTCCCCCACCTCTCAGTCCCGGCCTGGCCCCGGGGACCACCCCGGCCTCGCCGACGGCTGGTGGCCTGGTCCCCTTCGCTTCCCCGCGGCACGGCCTAGCGCTGCCGGAGGGGGATGGCAGTCGGGAACCTCCCGACAGGCCCCGATCCCCGGACCCGGTTGACAGCACCGGCTGTTGCAGCAGCACCAGCAGCACGGTGTGTACGGTCTCCGCCGTCACCGGGGTCCCGGTGGCTTCCGTTTCATCAGCCGTCGGGGTCGCTCCTAACCCAGCCGGCGGTGGCAGCAACAATTCACCATCCTCTTCCTCTTCTCCGACTTCTTCCTCGTCTTCCTCTCCGTCGTCCCCTGGATCGAGTTTGGCCGAAAGCCCCGAGGCGGCTGGAGTGAGCACCACAACAACTTTGGGGCCTGGGGCCGCGGGGCCCGGGACGGGGGTCCCGGCGGTGAGCGGGGCGCTTCGGGAACTGCTGGAGGCCTGTCGCAATGGGGACGTGTCCCGGGTGAAGAGGCTGGTGGACGCCGCGAACGTGAACGCTAAGGACATGGCTGGCCGGAAGTCTTCTCCCTTGCACTTCGCGGCAGGTCAGAGACGAACGGTTTATTAAGAGTCTGGGATGTTGGGGGGGAACCGAGTGGTGGGATGAAGAAAAGTAGTTATTATGATGGGACAAAATGGGGGCGTGGCTATGGCTCTTTAACACCTCGTCGGTAGACCCGAGGTTACTTTCTTCAGTTCGCTCGAGGTGGTGGAGGCGTGGAAAGGGGGGGGGGGGGAAAGGGATGTGCGTGCGAATCCATTCTTTAGTGTTTGCAAAATGATAACTTACTTAAAAACTCCCTGTGGCACGGGTAGTCCCTGGATAGGGATCAACTTTCTCACTTGTGCGTGTGGAGCCAACCCCTTAGATTTGGGTAGCGCCCGTTGGGTCGTGTGTGTGCTAATTTCCACAAAGTTAACGTCCCTTGGCGATTGCCCAAAATAAGTTTAATGCAACGCAACAAGTGTTTTAAGTCCTTACCCGTAGCTTTAATAACACACTAGAAGTCGTATGTGGAGTGGAAGAAACAAGTTTGACATTCTAGCTGGGGAGACCAAAGTGAGCCTTTATGAAACAACTGGGAAAAGGATTTTTGGATGCATTTCCCTAAGGGAAAGAAAACAGGCTTCGAAGTTGTGGACATTGCTGTTGTAGTTTATTCACAACTCAGTTCCTTAGTTTTCTCCTGGGCGTGAGATGATAGAGTAAGTTCCAAGTTTCTGGCACATGTATTATCCAGAAACAACGTGTGAATGTCTAAGCTCTGTATGCCACATTTGTCTTTGTCTTTATATATATATATATATATATATATATATATATATATATATATATATATATATATATATATATATTTAAAGCAAGTAGATGACTGACTTTCAGAAACAACTTATATATGTTTATATTACAGAATGACTTGGGGAGGGAAGGGATAGGTAGGGAACAGAATGATGAAAGGAGTGACACTGATCAAGATTCACTGGGGGACCTAAATGAATATGTGAACTTTAACCCCTGGTACAACCATTTGAAAATTAACAAAATAGAGAAATACAGACTAAAAGCACTGTAATCTCATTGCTCAATTTTGTCCTATTAAAATTAAAGGTAATATCAATACTAGAAACATTACATGTGTGTACTTATGTTATATATTATAAAGTTAAAATAGGACCGAAAGATACAAAATGAAAAGTACCCCCCCCCAAATACATACTGTGGATCCAGATGCCTTCTGTCAGATTTCTTGCTTACATTGTCACTCAATGTAAGTGACAGAACTTTCTGTACTACTTAGTTTTTATTCCAAATCAGAAGATACTGCCTTCCTCATTTTACAGAAGAAAATGTGAGACATATATTGTTTAGATAAGTCTGGAGTCACTCAAAAAGTAGTGGATTTAATGTGGATTCAGGCAGTTTGAGTTTAGAACTTGTGAAATCAAGCTTAAACTTTGGTAATTTATTCCTAGGTTAAGGTCACTTTGCATTTTTGTGAGGAATTTTTTTTTGTGGGGGGGATAAGTAATTGACAAGCTTATGTACAAGAATTGCTTTCACATATTTCTTACTGTAGATCATGCTAGAGATACATTCTACAGTATCATATACATATAACCAAATCAAAAGTTTCAGGAATTGTATTTTTCCTTACACATGTGTTATATTGTGATAATATACTTCATCTTTTCAGCAAATACTGTTTGAAATCCATTAATGTATAAAACAGGAAGTCATTATTAGGTCACTGGGTCCCTTCTTGATATACAGGCGCTATTGTTAGGAATGTAATGAATAGAGTCAGAACCTTAACTGATATACTGATATTCATTCATTCAAGGGTTTTGGGTGTCTTTTTTTTTTTTTTTGAGAGAGTCTCATGCAGGCCAGGCTGGCCTTCAAACTTTAGATCTTTCTACCTCAGCCTCCCTAATGCTGAAACCACAAGTGGGGGTAACCATACCCAGCTTCTTTTTTTTTTAGGTTACATGAAAAATGCAAGCCCTAATTTTGTAAATCAACCAAAGTTACGAACTTTTGCTTACTGTTTCCCATATTGCTTCACATATCTTGTCATTCTTTATCATATTTCTTTATAAATGATCATTAATAAGTGTAACTAAGTTATACTTTTGTATTAATATATTTGTTTAGGATAAGTCATACATAAAATAGGTCTTGTCTTCTAAACCACATCTTCTATTTGCTACATTACTTTTAATTCTCATCTAGAGCTCATGTGTACCCAGATAAGCTAGAATGCAAACAGTAAAACTATAGTTATGTTATGGTTTTGAGGCCTGCCTTTTTAGAAAAAAAATTGTTCAGTTATTAGAGAGAGACAATTATAAAATTCTCCATGATACAGAAACAGAACAGTTTATCCCACTTTTGTGTTTGTGTGCATAATATAAAGTCTTGTGAAAGTTTGTTTACATCATGTGCAGGATGAGTAGTTTAATTTTTAGTTAACTGTTAGTTGGTTATACTAGTCATTGAAGTGTCATGGGATAACTGGATTGAAGACAGGAAATTGGTAAATTTCTTGGATGAAAGGTTTAAAATTTGCAGTGTAGTTCCACACATTTCTTACTGCTTATAAATCATGTGTTAAATACTGGTATAACTTTTGAGTGGCAGACGCTTCTTAACTTCAATGGAGTTTATAGTGTAGAAAGGAGGCTTAAAGAACAACAGTAAGAACTCCACAAAACATGTAACTTTGAGTGATAGGAAAACACATTTTATTGTTTTCTTTGGAGTGTGTCATAGGGCTGTTATTTTGGGTCTGGATTAGTTAGAAAGTCTTTCTTGATAAAGTTTTTTAAAGCAGGATTTGAAGGATATGAGACTAAGCTAGCCAAGCAAATGATAGAAGGACTAATAATAACTAATTCCTTTACTTCTATTTACAAATGACTTTACAGTTCTATAACATGAAATGAAACATTTTTAATGACTGTAGGAATAACATTAAGCTATATTTAAAATAATTTTGACTTTGTTTTATAAAGTTAAATTTTATTGTAAAGGTGATGTACAGAGGGATTGCAGTTATATAAGGACATAAGTACATGTACATTATGTACATGAGTACATTTCTTTTTGAACAATGTTACCTACCTCCTCTTTCATCTTCTCCCACTTTTCCTCCCCCCTCTTGGCTTTATTTTTATTACAATAATAGGTACCGTATTCTTTCTAGCAGAATTGTAGAACAACAGTATTAATTGGAATCATCCCAACCTCAGTTAGAACATAATCTTCATTTTCTGAAGTTGACATAAATTCACAAAATATTAATACATTCTGAACTACTGTTTCTAATGCAGTTTGTGTGTGTGTACCACAAGCATGTAGGGCTTGAACTCAGGCTTCACACTTTTGCTTGGCTTTTTCTGCTCAAGGCTGGTGCTCCTGGCACACGAATCCTATTTCTCCTTTCAGTTTTTTGCTGGTTAATTGGAGATTACAGTCTCTGGAATTTGTTGCCCAGTCTGGCTTTGAATCTGGATCCTCAGATCTCAGCCTCCTCAGTAGCTAGGATTTTACAGGTGTGAATCACTGGCTCCTTGCTGATGGGCTTTTTTTTTTTTTATTGTTGACTAGAGTTTTTATATGCGACCTTCTTATACAGATATGACCCTTGGTTGTATTGTTCACTGTATAGTACTCAAAGAACTTTTTAAAATAGCCAATTTGGAGTGATAGCATCCTAGGTTATAGTTGTGATACTTATGCTAAAGGGCCAATGTAATTCTGATAAAGTCTTTTTTATAGGATAAGGTCAAATGAGATTTTTTTAAAACAAGGCTTTAACAAAGATTCTGAGATTTCATAGTAGTTTAAATTGAAGAAATGTTGAAATAGTATTCCTGATGGTTAATATTACTTGTGTTATAGTGTGAAATACAAGTTATTTTAGTATCAGAACTACTGAAATTTGTATTCCAGTTTTGTTTTCTTTTGATTTGGGTAGTATCTACTACAACACATATTTTACCCTACAATGATGGCTCAACTCATTCCCGAGTTTTTAGCAGCACAAATGATTTTTTTATATTTGTTTTTTTTGTCTAGTAAAAATCAGGGTATCTTTTAAACTGTTGCCTATCATTGGATAAGAAAATGAGGCTATGCTTCAGTTCTAGGTGGGAATTGTTTTTTTTTTTTAATATATTTTTGTTGTGAAAATACTGTACAGAGGGGTTACAATTACATGGGTAAGATAATGAGCACATTTCTTATCAAGCTTTGTAGCCTCCTCCTTTGTTTCTCCTTCTCATCCCTTCCCATCCTCCCCCCCCCACTCCCCCCACCAAAGTTGTAAAGTTCGTTTTTCTACATAACGACTTGTACATCTTATTGTTGCAATGGGTCCTCCTGTATCTCTGTTTTAACAATTTGTTTTTTCCCTTCCCCTCCACATATACCAACATCATATATAGTGAAAGCAGGGGTTGTATCTAGGTGAGAATTGTTTTGAGCGTTTTATATTTTGGTAAGGTTCCCTCCCTCCCTCCCTTCCTTCCTTCCTTCTTTCTTTTCCATCTTTTCCTTCTCCTTTTTTGAGACAGACATCCAGCCTGTCCTTGAACTTCCGGTCTTTTTGCCTCAGGCTTCCTGCTTTATACCTAAACCACTTTGCTTGACTCCTTGGTAATCCTTTGAAGCCCGTGTTCTGCCTCGGGTTGAAGGGTCTAATTGCATAATAGAAAAAGGAATTACTTTCTTCCTAGATTTAAAAATGTTGATTGTAAATGGTTTTTAAAACCTTTTTGGGGAGATGATTCTGGTGTTTGTACTCAGGCCTTTTGTTTGCTGAGCAAGTGCTCTGTTTATTTTTCCTACAGGGTCTTGAGTTTTTGACCTAGGTTATCTCAGTGATTCCTCTACCTTCACCTCTTGTGTAGCTAGGATTGTCAGTGTCAGCCTCACTACAGTACTTGCCTTGTTTGTAAAAACACAGATGTTTTGCCCTGCCTGGCCTCCATGATCCTCCCATTTCTGCCTTTCAAATTATGAGTACCTAGTGTTTTCTTA